AGTGCTTCTGGCTCAGTGAGCTCTGGGTGTCCCGTGGGAAGCACCACTTCAGAACTTTCCACAGACACCGCCTGGCTCTGTTAGTGTCACTGATGACACCTTGGGGGCGGGAGCTGATGTTCTCCTGCCTCCATCAAAGTCCACTGTGTTCTAGGGGGGGAGGGAGGAGATGGCAGTGGTGCAGAGAAGAAGGGCTGGGCCCTGACTCAGGAGGTTAGAGTGACATTCCTTGCTCTGCGTCTCGTTGAGTGAGCTCAGGCCTGACCCTGGGCTCATGTCCCCATCTGAGAACTGGGCATCATTTAAGCTGACCTTGAGGGGTTGTTCTGAGGACTGTAGATGGTTCTGGAGCCCCAGGACATGCTTCAGGGACTGGGAGAAGAGGGCAAGTGTCCCTGCCAGTCTGAGTTGCAGGCCACCGCCCCCTCCCTCAGGGCTGCCACCTGGGGCTGGCAGATCTCAGCTGCTTCTGGGAACCAAGACCATATTGTGGGTCAACTCACTAGAGGATGTTGTTCAGGATGGGGAAAGAGGAAGTCAGTTTTCCAAATAGGCCAACCAGGCCACCAGAAGTGTCCCCTCCAGTCTTCAGGATGTCCAAAAGTGGGAGGTTTTCCAGAATGTCCAGCAGACCCCCAAAGAGCAGGCAATGGCTGAGAGCTGGAAATGAGTAGAAGGGCCTCTGAGGGTCACCTCTGTCATCTCCAGGCCCCCTCCCCTACTCATCGTGCCCCTTCTCCTACCAGATGGAGTGTTGTTTATGCACACCTGTGCACACACGCACACACATGTACCTACACACCTGTGACAGAGGCCATCACAGACTTACCATCCCTCAAGCTTCCAGCAAGATCTATGGGATTTGCCTCCAGGGCTGGGATCGGATCCAAGGACAGAGTCGGGTCCAGGGGCTCAGGCAGGCCTGGGTCCAGCGGCACGGGCAGGCCTGCGAGCTGGGCTGTGACCTGGGCCAGCAGCCCACAGAAGACAACGAGGCCCCCAGTGTGAAACATCTCTTGGTGTCTGTGGACAGAATGAGTCCAATGTGGCACAAATTGGTCTCCTCCCCAGAGCACCTGGAGGTGACCAGCAGTAATGGCTAGACTGCTGGGTGTTTTCCCTGTGCCAGG